TCTTTAATAACATTTTCACTATATTTTTGGAAGTTATTTCCATTGTGTTTGTTCTGGAGCTTACTATGTACATCATAACTCATCAGAATCATCTTAAAATTCTAACTTAATTCTGCTGAGATATAGAAATGTTACTTCTATATGACTCTACTCCATTTTCCCGCATTTTGTGGTGTTAAACATATTACATTTATAAATTTTCAATCCAAACAATATATTGTTATAATCATTACTTTATAAAATTTAATATCTTTTAAAGAAGCTAAGAGAAGAAAGAAGAGCTAGTATATATTTATAGCTTTTGTTATATTAACCTGATTATTTGTCATTTCTTGAACTGTGCATTTATTCCTACAAATCTGACATACCACTTGGTATCATGTTCTTAACCCAATACAGCTTTCTTCTCACTCACCTTCTTTTTGCTGTTATTGGCAAATATATTACATTTCTATATGTGATATGCCAAACAATAGATTATCTACACATTATTTTATTTTATACAATTAAAAAATAATTTAAGAATGTAGGAGAAATATGTATTTTTACTGTCTTTTATAATTATATAGTAATCTTTACAATTGAACTTTGTTTTCCATGTGGATTTGAATAATTTGAGTTTTTGTCTGGATTCAGTTGCTTTCAGCCTGAATAACTTCCCTTTACAGTTCTTGTAATATGGGTCTGCTAGCAACAAATTCTCACACTTTTTTTTTTTTTTTTTTTTTTTTTTTTTTGCGGTACGCGGGCCTCTCACTGTTGTGGCCTCTCCCGTTGCAGAGCACAGGATCCAGACGCGCAGGCTCAGCGTCCATGGCTCACGGGCCTAGCCGCTCCACGCCATGTGGGATCTTCCTGGACTGGAGCACAAATCCGTGTCCCCTGCATTGGCAGGCGGACTCTCAACCACTGTGCCACCAGGGAAGCCTGTAATGTTGTTATTGATATAGTTGGATTTATGTCCGCCATTTTAATTTTTGTTCTATATATCTCATGTCTTTTTGTCCTATTCTTCCTTTTTTTACCCTTTCTTTTGAGTTAAGTAAATATTCCTTAGTGGAACTTTAACATTTTTTTGTTTCATTTTTTGAACTTTTAAAATTATTCTTTCACTCTTTTTAAAGTTATTTTCTTAGTGGCTCATCTAGGGTTGATTGTATACCTCTTAACAGAATGTAGTTTGCTTTTATACTAAATCAGTTCTTTTGAGATATACAGATGTTACTCCTATATAGTTCTATTCCCTCTTCCTTCTTTTTTCTCCTACTTTTGTTATGCATATCACACCTATACAATGTATTAAAATATGTTAACATATTATAATGTATGTGATATGTTTTTAATTCAAGAATACATTATTTTAATAATTATATAATTTGGTTATTTTAAGAAACTGAGACAGGAAAAGAGAGCAACTATTTATTTACAGAGTTTGGCATATTAATCTTGTTAAAAAAAACTGTTTTTTTTGGTTTTTGGTCACTCTGAGTGGCTTGCGGGATCTTAGTTCCCTTGCGGGACTGAACCCGGGCCCACGGCAGTGAAAGCATGGAGTCCTAGCCACTGTATGGCCAGGGAAGTCCCTTAATCTTCTTATTTACAACTTACTAGTAAATAAGTAAGAAGTAAGTAATCTTCTTATTTACTACTTCTGTCCCTCTTCTTTCTTTTCCCTGTTTTCTTTCTTTCTTTCTTTTCTGGCCATCCTGGGGAGAACTGTTAAATTTTCAACTTTGATCTTCCCTTAAAATGTGATTTTTAAAGAGTCAGAATGAAATAAATGATTTAGTGGGTTTAGTTATATATCTTCCAAAAGATATGTCCATGCTTTAACCCCTAGTACCTGTACCTGTGAACATGACCTTATTTGAAAATAGAGTCATTGTAGATGTAACTAAGTTAAGGTTCTCAAGACGAGATCATTCTGGATTTGGGATGGGGCCAAAATCCAATTACTGTTGTCCTTGTAAGAAAAAGGAGAGGGAGATTTAACACAGGGACACACACGGAAGAAGGACATGTTAAGCTGGAGGTAGAGATTTGAGTTAGGCTCCCATAATTTCCAGGAATGC